CCCGCGGTGACTGCGCGGGGCTGCGCGTCCCCCCGGGGGAAGGGCCGGAGCGGCCTCCGCGTGGGTGCGCGGCGGGACGTGGGTGCCCGCGGAGAAGCCGCGGCTGCGGTGCCTCCGGCAGCTCCTTCAGCTGCCTTTTACAGAAGGGGCTCTGGGCGGTTGTGGGTCCTTTTGTGAGGGCTTTTTGTGTGGGTTTTGTTTGGGGTGTTGTTTTTTTTGGGGGTGTTGGTTTGGGTTTGTTTTTTTGTTCCATTTGGCTTTTATTGCATAGAACCGCAGGGATTTTCTTCAGTGCAGTTAAGAACAGAGACGAGGAGACATGTTCTGTGGCTTTGGAAATAACTTGACCAGACATGAACTCAAGAGCAGTTTAAATGCAGAACTATTACCACTTTATAATCTACTCTTGAGTGTTTGCTAATGTCACTAGTGTTATCTGTATCTAATGGTAAGTTGCAGGAATTATCACTGACACCTACAGTTGCTTTGATGCCTGCCTCTTAGCAAACCTGTGCATATTCAGCTTCTCCTGAGGGACAGGTAAAGGGTCATTTGGATGTGGTGTTGGTGGATATGGTTTAGGGGAGAACTCTGTAGAGTAAGAATGATGGTTGGACTCTGTGATCCCGAGGGTCTTTTCCAACCTGAATAGTTCTATGATTCTACATGAGCTGCTACTGCACCAAAGCCCTTCATCTGAAATGTAACTATGGTTTAAGCCCCTTTGTGAACTGGTATTTAAGTTACTCTGTCATTCTGGCAGTGACCTGGGAAAGGTGCTGTAGTCCTGTCACTCTTTCTTACTCCCTGGATACTGGCTGCTGTTCTCATGCAGTGATGAGTCTTGAGAAATCACTATTGCATCAAGTTGGAATATTAATTCACTGGTATGTGACACTACTCATAAAGCACATAAATATCAAGCCCATATTTTATAGCTTCATACAGAAAAATAAAGCAGTCACTGGAGAAAGTTTGTATAGCACCAAGTGTCTGTGCATCTGCATGTCTTGTTTTGGTGAAGGATTTGAGTTGGCAGTGTATTTTCAAGGTGCTAGTGTATACATCTCTTGTTCTGCACTGAGATAAGCTTTTGGAATGAGCTCAGGAACCTGACTTCTTGTGCTGATTGGAAAGCTTCAACCTCTGAGCTGGCCTTCTGCCTCATATGGATAGGGCAATACCTGTTCAGTGCTTATGTATAAATTAAGTTGGGATCAGCATTACAGTTTTATGCCTTTTCATTCTGAAAGTCTATTTAATCCACTAATATAAGATAAAGATCTGTTAATAAAATTATTTAACTCTTTTACAGTGGTGGAGAAAATGATGACGACTCTGACCAGAACTGGAAACCACCAGAAAATGACCTGATCCAGAAGATAATAGCACAGATTGAATATTACTTCTCAGATGAGAACCTTGAGAAAGATGCCTTCCTTCTGAAGCATGTGAGAAGAAATAAGATGGGCTATGTCAGTGTTAAACTCCTCACTTCTTTTAAGAAGGTGAGCTAACTTTTAAAGACTTTTAAGTGCCTTCTGCAAGTCTGATGAATCTAAAAACATTAGGAGAGATGAGGTGAACATGACTTACTTGATAGAGGCAGTTTTACTGTCAACCTCTTTATCTGCCTCTCTCAGCAGTTGATTTGAGATTTGATGTGGTTTAGTTATTTCTCATCCAGTACTTAAATTGATGAGCTTGTTGATGATTGGCTAGAGAAATAATGGGTTTTTAAGCAACTGTGCTTTTAAATTATCATTCTGTGTGAAAGTAGGGCATAATAAATGGGATGCAGGGTAAAATATTTTTCTAGATCAGCTACTCATGAGTACCTAAGTAATCCTGGTAAAGTTGCTTTCTTGAATCTGAGAAGGGATAATAAATTTGACCTTTGTAAATGTATGGAGATCCAAAAATTAAGAGTAGTATGAAGTATCTGGTAACTGAAGTCACTTAAAGGTGAGGTGGGTTTTGTTGTTTTGCTTTACATTTGAAACTCCTATGTAAATGTGTACATAACAGATCTGTAAAATTACATTAGAAACACTTTGTCAAGATTCTGTCTGTTTTGCAGAGCTATTCAATGTAGAAGTTGAGGCATTCCCAGTTTCTTCAGATCACTTCAAACATTATACCACTGACAAACTCTTAAAAGCAATCCTTGGAAATGGGAAAGTTTGGAGTTCTTCTAAACTGAGATTTTTGAAGGGGAAAAATCATGTCAATTAAATTATAGCCTAAACTTGGCAAAACCTCTTGTTTGGCAAATTTAACAAAACCCACAGAACATGCATTTTCATCATTGTTCAGACCTAGATATGGAATGACTCGGTATATCTTGTGCAGGCTTTAAGCTGAAGTAATGGTTTTCAGTTAGAGAGTTAGTGTCATGTCCTATTTTCAGTAGATTGAGCAGGACATGAGCTTTAGAGGTGCTCACCAATGCCCACTATAGCAGAAAAACTGTTGACTTTTTCACTCAGGTCTGCTACATGAAACTTTAAAATCAGTTTTTGTTCGTAGACTGGAGCCTGCATCTGCCTTACACTTTCTGTAATTAGTTTGAGTGGGTTTTACCAGTTGTGATGCTTAACCTGTGCTTGTCTTTAAGGTGAAACACCTCACCCGTGACTGGAGAACCACAGCCTATGCACTGAAGTATTCAGACACTCTTGAGCTTAATGATGATAACAGAAAGGTTAGAAGAATTACTCCAGTTCCAGTGTTTTCGAGTGAAAACCTCCCTACCAGGATGTTACTGGTGTATGATATCCACATGGAACTGCAGGCTCTCAGCAAACAAGAGAATGGATGCATGCAAGAAAGGATAATGGAGCATCTCCTCAGAACCTTTGTAACTTTTGGTGTCATTTCATCAGTTCGTGTTCTTAAGCCTGGTAGGGACCTACCACCTGACATCAGGAGGGTCAGCAATCGGTACCCCCAGCTGGGAACTCAAGAATGTGCAATTATAGAGTTTGAAGAAGTAGATGCTGCTGTACGTGCTCATGACTTCATGTGTGCTGAAAAGAAAGAGACTGGCATTAAAGTTGTCCTAATAGGCATGAAACCTCCAAAGAAAAAAGTTCCCAAAGACAAGAACCATGATGAAGATACTAGCAAGAGTCTTAAGAAGGCTAGATCCCTTAACAAAAGGGTTGAGGAACTCCAGTTTGTGGGTGATGAGTCTTCAGCAAACAGCTCTTCTGACCCAGAGAGTAACCCTACATCTCCATTGGCAGGACGCAGGAACACCACAAGTAACTTGAGCCCCGTCATTCATCCAACCAACCATTTGAGTCCTCATGTGTCACCCAGATCAAGTCCTTGGAACAGTCCATCCTTGCTAAGAAAAACAACAAAAAAGTCTCCTCTGGCTGAAGGCAGAAAGCTTAACCCAAGCACTAGTCCTGAAATTCCAAGAAAATGTACAGATTATTCCTCAGATAGCAGTATCACTCCTTCTGGTAGCCCCTGGGCACAGAGAAGGAAAGCTCAGCCTGTAAGACAGGAGAAGAGCCCTGTCAGTAGCCCCATGTTAGCTCGGAAAATACAAAATGCAGATGGTCTGCCCGTGGGGGTGCTGAGGCTGCCCAAGGGTCCTGATGGCACTAGGGGCTTCCACAGTACATGTGAACAAAGGAAGGCTACAAAGAATGAATAAATCATTCTTTTAAAAAATGTCACAGGTCAGTCAACTGCTTTTGTTCAATCCTGGTGAAAAACTGTCACTTGAGTGACTGAGCTAGGTCATTATTTAATTTGAAAATATTTTGTATACATATAGAGACTTTATTATTTGTTTATTCACTTCACAGAACCAGAGGATGGTTGAGGTTGGAAAACATCTCTGGAGATAGGCCAGTCCACCTCCTTTGCTCAAGCAGGGTCCACTGCAGCAGGTCACTGAGGGGTTTGAGTATCTGCAAGGACAGAGACTCCCCAGTCTCTCTGGGCATTGTGTTCAGCCACCCACATAGGAAAAAATGTTTCCTTACATTCAGGTGGCATTTCCTTTGTTTTGTGCCCCTTTTCCTGTTACTGTGGATTTCTGAGAACAGCCTAGCTCCATCTTCTTCACTCCTTCCCATCAGATATTTAAAAAAACACTGATGAGATCTGCCCTGAGCCTTCTCTTCTCCAGTCTAACCAGCCCCAGCTCTCTAGCCCTCTCATGAGAGCTGTTCGTGTCTCTTAATCATCTTACGCACTTGCCTAATGCAATGCCCTCATCTGCATTATTGTTTTAAAACGTATTGGTTTGAAACAGACGTATAAATCCTTCATGTAACTACATTATTTGCAAAGCAGCAGTGTGTAAATACTTAAGAGTTTAGTGGTTGTATTATAAGCTGTTGGTGTGTTACCAGTCTAATCACAAGGAATTAAGGTCTTAAAGACTTTGTCTCAAAAGGAACTGAGAAACTTATGCTACAGGGAGCAGTTGCTGCTTGCATACATCTCCAAAGATGATAATGTTTAGTTGGACCAAAGTGTGTATTTTTTTGTGATGTGAATGAAGACTCTGAACATTGAAGATTGTTCTGGAAGGGTTATCTCACATTATGAGATGGAAATAAATGAAATTACTAACTTGGTCTAGATCTATTTTGTTTACCTTAAAAATAAGTTGAGCTGTACCTGAATAGATAAATAAACCTTATCTTACATGATAAAAAATTCTACATATGGTTACTTGGAATTTCCATTGCATTTGTTGGGGGGGGAATAAAGGTCCCCTGCCCCATAACTGATGGTTACTTAAGTGGTGATGTTTCACTGACTGTATGTCACAGTAGTTTTTATACAATATTGTAAACTAAACAGTGGTTATCTCACTATTAACTCTGAATTTAAGAAGCAGGCTCAGCAAGAAGCACTTACCTGAAGCCAAAGAAGGAACCTCTGCAGTTTTAAATGTAAAAGTTACACTCCTAAAATAATAGCCTGGCAACAGTAAGAAGATAAGGTTTAAGCCTCTAATGTACAGCTTGGGAACTGTGTATGACAAAGTTCTACCCAGATTATGATTCTTCATTCCAAAACATCTCCCCTTGCTTTCCAACTTCCATTTTTGAAGACACATAGCAGTCAATTAAATGGAAATCTTGATAATTTATATATAATAGCCCATAATATTAAAAATCTCCAATATAGTGTATGCTTGCATACAGTAAAAAAGGAAGTTGAAAAGAGCAGCACTTACAAGGGCTGTGCTCTATGACTGAACACATCTACTTGTCACATTTAACATGTAAACCTTAAAAATCAAACTTTCTGTATAACACCAGAAGTCTGAAACTAAAAACCTCAGACAGTGAATATGACTCTTATTTTGCTTTAGAAAGTTTTTCACTTCACAGATAAAGTGAACACTGAGGGTGACCTCTTCATAAATAAACAGTAAGTTGACATTTTCTTTGCTAATGAACCAAGTGTTAAGTTATTGAAGAGGTATTAAAAGGCTGTAACCTATAAAAATACTCTTGTTTTACAATACACTGCCATCTCAGTGTAGGCAAACTTATCCTGAGACCAAGATAAATGTAACCAAAACATCTAAGAGAGCTGCTCAACCTGTCTTTTAAAGAGCCTTTCAGTAAGAAAAGAATACATTTGCCATAGTAATTATTTTAGTAGAAAGAAAATTCAGAGAAACATGATCAAAACACAAGTAATAATGCAACTTGATCAAACAACAAAATAAAATGAGATCAGTGAAACTTTGGCAAGTAATTTAATGTACTGCTTATAAATAAAAGGTCAATATGAGGTCATCTGCATTTAGGTAAGAATATATAAAATCACAGTTCTGCTTCACATAATTTTCCCTTGTCCCCAAAAGGAAAGTTTCCTTCTGGGAAAATATTCTGTGAAAACCTCAGGTAGCCTCACAGACCAAGCAACTTCTTTGCTTTTCTCCCTCGTCTTTTTTTTTGCCTTTTGTTTCATATTGCCACTTTGAAGTCCAAACAACTACTTTATGCTAATATTAAAAAAGACCAAACCAAAGTCACAAACAGCTTTTGTATCTTTGCATTTATATTCAGTATTCCTTGTAGAGCCCCAAATGCTTGCTTGTTTAATTCATCAATGTAAATACATTCTAGGTATGAAATACCACATATCCTACACAATCCACAGCAGGCTTCAGTCATACATGTATGCCAATAAAAACAAATGCAATATTTAATTCCTTTGGGACAAATATTTAATTCTCCCTGAGTTTGTTCCTGTCCTCATATTCAATCAATTGCTCAAAACTTATGTTTAAAAATAATACAAAACCACAAATATACACACAGCATACATATAAACTGCTTGGCATAATGTTGCCAGTAAAGATATTTTAAATCCTAACAGCTCTGCCTTTATTTTCTTCTGACTCTGAAATGTTTGAAGTATGATGACATATTTCAACTACTTTTTAAAAGTGTCTTACCCACTGGAGAGAAAGTACATAACAACATGTGGCAGTTTAGTCACTGGTTGAGAGCCCTGCCCAACTACAGAAGCACACTTAACTCCTGTCCCAGCTAACAAAGGATGCATTTCTGTTGTCATTTTTCACAGGCACAGTTTATGGGCTGGTCTGACACATCAAAATTCTGAAAATAGCCAGGGACTTCAGTAAAAAAAGCCTAAGCTAATGCACCCAAGCTGTTAAGCAAACAGAGTTGGCTTCAGCTTACACCACTGTTCCCTTAGCTTTGATTTGACTACATTTGAAGCAAAGATATAGTTGATTGATTCATAGGAAAGATCCCACATCTGTGATCGAGTCAGATTAAACGTTCTTGCCACCAGCTCATATTCTTGTGATAGATCTGTTGCAAAGACTCCTTTATCATCAGTCTGGAGTAAATTGGAAGAAAAGACAATAAAAAGTTAAAGTTAGTTTCTCTACATAAAAAAGAGATTTTTCTATGCATTACAAAACAGTCTTAACTTGCTATTCCACATTTTATTCCAAGGTTCTTTAATCTGTTGGTCAGTATTTCATACTTTATTTGCCCTATTTTCATTAAAAAATAGTAAGTTATTCAAACATATAAGAAAACTTCTTAAAATGATGGCACAGCTTATCAAGAAAATATAATATCCTATTGAAGTTGCTAGAAAGCTGATTATCAAATGATGCGTACATGCAAGCTATGTTCATATGTGCAGGTCTCCTTATTCCTCTTTTCCCTTTCACATCTTCAGGGAAGAAACCATCTCACCCTCTGCACTTAATATCAGTTAGAACCATTTCTTGATTGTCACTGAAGTCCCAGGCTAGCATCAAAAACTTGTGCTCAAAAGCCACCAAAAGGTTTTTAGTCTAAAAGCAGCAAGTTAGGATTATTTAAAGGTTAATGAGATACCCATCAGCAACTCAAAGTCCTCGTGTCCCCAGAGAGAAGGGGGAGACTATATACTAACTATATCCTGCTATACTTAAGACACTGTACTACATTCTCTGTTTACTGCTCTTGTTTTTATATGTCTTTATGGGTCAGCTGCTTTCTTACATGACTTCACTGGTTACCAAGACTTTTCACAATTGAAAAATCTCAGAAATAATATCTAGTTATTAAATATTTCTCACCTAACACAACAGACTTCAAAACTCAATAATAAATAGTACAATTAAAGACTGAGGCTTATTTCAATAATAAGCACAATGCTCTAAGATACAAACACTTGGACAATGGTACAAACTATACAAGTTAAACCCGCAGGATGACAGTAAAATCTTACCAGTGTCAGCAAAAGTACTTGGCACCTCAACATTTAAAGACCTTAATCAGCTATCAAGAGAACTCAAGAACTGTGATCCAACACAATCAACACCCAGGTGAGCAGAAGCTTACAAGCAAGCATTGAACCAATATGTTTAAGAGAAACCAGTTAGTATGTAAACAGTTTAAGTTCATTCCATGTATAGCTGATCATCTTATCCATACTAAAGTATTGCTTTACAATAAAACCAAGAGGAATACTAAAAATTCCCATTTGTATTACAAGCATTCTGAAATAGAACATTATTATTTACTATAAGCAGATGATTTGCTGCAAGGTCAGAAATTTTAAGTCAGCTCTGATCCATAAAAGGAGATACACTTTTCCAATTTCACACTAGTTTGGCTTGTTGTCCAAATACATGGTTAAAATTTAAAAAATAAAACAAATAACTTACACAAAGGACTGTAGGGTGGCCCATGTTGTACCAGTATCCAAAGTGGTGTTTGTCACAGGAAGGCACTGTCTGGGTTTTGATATTTGATGTCATGCAAAGTTCTATGGGGAAAAAAAAAAGAAGAAACAAGAATATATATCAAAGAAAAATACATTTTTTGACACATTAACTGACTTATCTCTGTCAAAGATAATGTCTAATGAAAATTAAAATCATCTGTTGTTGTTGCTTTGATTTTCTGTGCTTCAAATATTATATCTTCTAAGGGAAATTTGCTCATCAATTTGTTCTTAACTACTGGGTGAGTATAACATTTAGGGAGATTGGAAAACAGATACAGAGAAAGCAGAGTCACCACACAACCTTGCACAGTAACTGAACATTATCATTTAGCTTTGTTAACCTGAGACATCAGTTTCTTTCTGCTGCCACAAATACATCAAAACCACAAAAACCTCAGCAGTGCACCTTTACAGACAGTTCTGTCACATACACTGCCATGTTTCTGTAAGTCACCTCTGGTCAAAGACAAAGCAGAGTTACTAGCATCAGCAGTACTTAGGACATCCTGAAATCCAGAGATCACCAAGTAATTTTCTTAGCTTTTTTTCCATACCAACAGGTATACGATTCTGTCGAACAAGTGGCACCAGCTCTTCTGAACCTGTTGTTGCAGAGTTGAGAAATGTTCCATGTCCAATTCTGTCAGGGGGCAGGCCCAGGAGAACTCTGGTCTCCTCTTCCTGATTTGGAATCTAGAGAGGATATATTTTACATTCTGTCAAGGCAACATAAATCAGCACATTAAATAATTACAGTGATTTCAAGGTCTATTTTCACAGCATATCTTAACCAAAAGAAAATGTGACTGGGACTAAATTATATGCATTACTACCCTGTAAAGAAAGAAGTAGTGCATAGAAGTGACTCTCAACTTGGAATTAGAAACCAAAGCAGCCATAATCCTACACTGGTGTGTAAAACAAGACAATCACCATTTGCAGTTCTGAAGCACTTTCAGCTGGAGGCCTCAAATCACCTTTGTATCTTCAGATTCAAAACTACCCCATCAAGGCCACCTTTAACACCTGTTTTACACAGGAATTAAAAAAAAGGTCCAGGAAGAACTGAAACTGCAGGAGGTCAAAACCAGCCAAACATATTAAAAGATGACACAAAACAAAAAGACCATTTAGACATTAAAAAATAAATTATCAGAGAAGCATGCAAAAAAGCCTCTGTAAAAAAAAACAGAAACAAGTTTGAATAAGCCTGTGACATCATGTATCATCCTTCACTTCCTGAAGTAAAAAAAAAATATTTTCAGTATTTATCAGACCCATCAGAGTAAACTTCAGCCACCACTTCAACAGTTTGTATGAAGAAGCCCAGGTCTTTCTCCTGATAAAAGCAGAACTAACAGAACTACTTGTGAAAATGAATTTCACTATACATGGCTTCTGATAAAATGCCAGAAAAAAAACAGTGGAGTTGTTGGAGTATTACTAATTTTCCATTTCACACCTACCCCCCAAATAGACATAGTACACTAAGAAAGGATTTGACAGTTCTGATTGAGAAAAGATTGTTGAAAATTTCTCCTTGTTTTTTTCTCTATTGGCAAAATGCCCCCTGAAATACCCCTACTTTGGCCTGAGAAGTTCAAAACACACAGAAGTTAAGTTTAGTGTCATCAAGTTTTTTATAAAAATGGGAATTACAGAGAAGGATCAAAATAAAGAAAACTTTTACCTCTGAAAGATGCAATGCCAGCTTTAGACCTGCTTTTTTTGCTTCTGAGAGTGGTTCAAAAAAATCTTGACCGTGCCCCGCCTTGAAGACAGCAACACAACAACATTCTAAAGCTTGTTTTACAGAACTCTTCCTGTTACCATAATTAAGAATTCTGGCAACATCAAAACACTTCATTCAAATACAGTTAAATCAAATTCTTTTTCTTTCTCCATTACTTCAGTTTTGAATGTAGCAAGTCACATAATGTTCTGCTATATGGGCACACTTTAGACAAACTGGTCAAATGTCAGTAGTTTAGATGATGTCCAACAGTTACAAGACAATTGTCTTCATTTCGACATCCCTTCTACAGCTATCACCCAGAGCCACTTCATTTCAACTTGACATCCATCCTCAAATGTTTTTGCTTTCTTAATACACAATAACAATGCTGCATCTAAGCAATATTTAAACTAGTGTCAACTTGCAGTATCATTTAACTTGCCTCAACCCAGTCAATCTGACTGAGACAATTTAGTAACAGACATTTCCCAGATAAGCACTACTTGTCAGTGCCTCGTTCTTCAGTGTCATTTATTAATCTATTGATTCTTCATTAGAGTATCTGTCCTTTACAGCAACAGGGCACCACCTGGTATTAAGATTACGGCCCATCCATTCAAACTAGCAACAAGTATCAGACAAAAACTTGTCAGAACAGAGTATGATTAGAACCACTTGCTGTTACACATCATTATATACTTGTTTTCAACAACAAAATAAAACAAAAACTTACAGTGGGATCACCACTGAGGTCAATTCCTACTACAACCCCATCAGTGGAAAGAAGGAACTCTTCAGCAAGTTTCACAGTCTGCTTAGCAACAGCTGGGCCACCTCTTCTGTTTATTGCTATTAACAATCTGGGAAAGAAATGCACCTATTAAAGTTGAATCCAAGCTGTAATATCAGAAGACTAAATAATCTGATGCCAACAAAAATGGCACTTCACATCCTTCACAGCTGAGTATAAAGAGTATTTGTATAGGAAACTGTTGAAGGGATGAAGGTACCAAGCGCAGAGGGTCATAAATGAGATAAACATGTAAGACTGAGCAATGCAGTGGGCACGGTGGTGAGAGGGAGGGCAGAGAGCAGGACCCTGCTCATTTGACGCCTGCACTATCATGTGAGCAACCTCTCTGAGGGGCACATGTGAAGAACGAGAATTCTCCTGCTTCCACAAATACATCTGACAGGGGTTGCTCCTGAGAGTATAAAAGACAGGCAAGCAGACTGGTTTCAAGCAAACACTAACACCTTCTGAAACCCTTCTGCTGGTTAGGACCCCCTCTCCTTTACATCAGGTTGCTTGTACAGCTAATCAAGCAGAACCTTAGCAGTGAATCTAGGCTGTGCAAAAGGAGTCTTAATGCAATTTCCATCAAAACTACTGCTTTTCCCAAAACTGTTGCAGAGAGTACACAGCCTTAGAGCTGAAAAACTTTACCCGTTTTCACTCTATCTGTAAAAAGGAAGATAAAATTCAGGTTTCATATGAATTACCCATTTCCATTCTATGTAATCTAGTTTAAGCACAATTTTCTTTCCTACACTGATGTTTGGAAAACATCTCTGCAAACCACGACCAAGCATCAGACAACACACAAACCTGAAACAGAGGTACTTGATGCACTTTATTTACCTTACATCTATATCCAAGCCTTCTTCTTTACACTGCTTTATACCCTCAAGTACAGTTTCAACGTACATCCTTTTGGTCATACCTACAAACACATGTACACATTTAGAATAAACATTTTAATTAAATTATGTTGCAGACCCAGCTCTCTAGCCTTGTAAGTTTCACTCTGAACCTTTGATTTTTAGTCCATGGTATTCTAATCTACAGAGTTTCAATTCTGTGTATAAATACAGCTTTACTTGGAGGTAGACATTTGAATTAAGCCTCCTCCTAAGCATTTGAAGCCAAATATCTTAATGTGAACCAGAGAGTAGCAACAGGAATTCTCTTATGTGTTTCTATTAAACCACACCTTAAAGAAAATAAAAAATGAAGTAACAAAAAGAAAAAGTACAAGCTATTAAAAATGTTAGCAGACTCATGTCACACTAAAGTAAATAACCCAAATTGTTGGGTAGTAACCAACATATTTTTGTCCTCAAAAAGTCTATTAGTAAAGTGACATGCTTTTACATGGTTAAATCTTTGCTTTTATATTAAAAGTCTGGTTTTATTGACTCAACTAAATTTGACTTTATGTTATAAACATAGCCTAAGTTTTACAGCACATCAGACTTAAAATTAAAAATTAGAACAGACTGTACCTGTGGACTTTTCTTCTCTAGGAGTGCTCCTCAATTCCAGATACTTGACACCATCATCAGCAAATTCTTTAATAACATCTTTAGTTATCTGATTAAGAAACAATATATTTGACATCATGAAAGCAATGCTTATAATTGGTTATATTTATATATATATATACACTTATATCTACATATATATGCCTTGGTAATACTAAACAGAGTTAGGTCAAATGAGAATTTCCTTTTCCGGCCAAGAATATCCCCCAAATGGTGCAGTCACTACCCCTTTCACAGCTACTGTACCTTTCTGCAAGCATAACAGGCTGCCTAAAAGCCCCTTTACAGGAGGAAAGAAGACACTGCACCATTTTCTACTCCTTTTTTGATCACACAAGAGTTCTCCTTGAGTCTGAGGTGAACAAAATGGGATTCTAATTTTGTAGTTTTTGTACGTAATGAACCAAATTAATGTGTTTTACAGTAATAGTTCTGCAGTTGAAGAGGCCATTGTTGGTATTGTTACGTAGAACTCAATGCTGTTAATTAATTTTGACTGTGTGTATTGCTTGCTTGCTATAAGTGAACTTTTAATTAACTTACCAGTAAAATATCTTCAGTACTAGTGGTAATCTGATAGATGATCTGAAACATCTGAAAACATCTAAACCAAACAGTAAAAAAATTAATTGGACAAATGTTGAACAGCAAAATTATCATTAAAAAGAAAAATCTACTCTTTGAAAACATGTACTCACTATGCTTGATTAACCAGCTTGTGTCTTAAAATACAAAGACCATCTGGATGGAAATTTCTGAAGTTAGATGCTAACACTGCATTTGCAACAGAAATTATTATTACTATTACTGCAAAGCTTTTTGAAGCACAAAGGAAAACATGAAAGTATCAAAAAAAAATGAAATTATGCAAGTCAATTTTATAAATATAAGTAGCACAAAAATCTAACAGACTGTACTGTGACTGAAACCTGAAAATGTATTTTCTGTAGTCAGTGTGTAAGGCCACACATTCCTCTGTTTTAAACTTCATTCAAAGGCACTCAGTAAACGTCCCTCACACACTCACATGTGTATACTCACTCATCTAAGGTTCTTTTCTTTCCTTTGTCAATCATAGTCATCCCATTCTGGATCTGAAGGTATGGCTTCCGGGCCATCAGCTTCTTCATAGTGGCAGAACTGATAGAGCCATTCAAATGAGCATGAAGTTCCTAGAGAAAAAGAAGTAAAATCCTATGGATGTGTTTGGGGAGAAGGATGGTTTCTGCATCTCGTTGGCATTACTGTTCTATGAGCCTGGCAATAAACCTGCCCGTTTGCTCCTCTTCCCCTGGGGGCAGCTGTTAGCACTGAGCTCAGTGGGGGCAAAGCTGGCCCAGTAAAAAGGGCTCTCCAGTTAATTGCTGGAGTGGTGCAATGGATGGGGAGGGACAGAGAGGAGGAAGCCAAGAGCTGCCTCAGGGTTAAGAAAAGTGTAACACGGATTCAAGAACTCTTTC